CATTTGGTCTCAGCGCTTTATGTCTTCCATACTTTCCATTATTTTTGCTCGTGCATTTGCCTTTTTGTCATTGCAAATTTGAGAAATAAAATTTTCTTGTACATTGAAGAAAGGGTGCAAAGATTTAAATGAGTTTTGGGACTATAAAAGCACGAAATCGTGCTAATTCGCTATGTCCTGAATTTCGAGTTTTCTGGGAACGAGGATGGAACATGTTAACGAGAAGCAGTTGTCACTTTGTTAGTATTTTATTTTTTTTTTTTTGGTAAAAGAACTTAAAAATTGTCTCGGGATAAATGCAAAGTTCTACCGGAGCTCTTTCCCTCTGTGCGTCCGAGTAACATGTTTCTTCCTGGGCAAACAGGGAGCGGATGAAGCTTGATGGATCTCGTCACTCCTTTATTTGTTTAAGTTCGGTTTAATTGATGAAAATTGGAAATCACTTACATTTTACGCTGTATCCCTTTACTGGGTGAAAATGTCATTCTGTGGTTACTTAATCGTTTATCCACCAAAAGTACTCTGCATACATGCGACAAATATTATCATCTAGCATGCTCTTGCTAGATTTTTCATTGCAAATATCTTTTGCGGCCGGTATAGGTACAGGTTGCGGCTGTGTCATAGCCATTATCTGGGTTCTTCTTTGCTTAAGTTACATAAATCAACGGTCTCTTTGCCTCCCTCTTCCTTCCCCTAATTCCGGGAGTCCAAACCGTCAGACAGAATAGTCCTAATTCTTAACCTTTGCTTCTCAGTTTCTTCGCGCTTATATTCATTTTTATGCGTTTTTGCATACATGCACACTGCAAAAACATATTGGCGAGAGTCTGTGTGTGTACGTCTGTATGTTCGCACTTTTCGTCACCCACCTTCGACTCGAGAACCAGAAAAGTCAGAAGGTTGAAACTTTGGGAGTATGTTTCCATACCACTCACGACCCTCCCTTTTTAATATCATTACTCACGCAGGCCTAAATTCTGCATACGGGCGCCCCAAAAAAATATGCAGAATTTTTGGGAGGAAAGCGATCTCGGGAGCCAGACAAGATAAGGGGCTGGAACTTTGTAGGATATTCCTCGTGGATGTGTGAGCTAGAAATTTCAAATTCAGCCGCCAACTGTGCGTGGTTTTGGCGGGGAAATTTCTGACTCGGAAACCAGGAAAGTTAGAAAGCTGAAATTTTGGAGTAATGTCCCCTGTCCGAGCACAACTTAAATATTTCAAATTCAGCTCTCGGGGATGCGTGGCTCTCAAGTACGAGCGCGTGAAAGATTTAGCAGGAAAATTGCTCAGTGAACAGCTAGGTTATTCTCAAAGAACGGCCGTTAAATGGAATTGTACATTTACTTTATGCAAAATTTATGTGATTTACGCCAGTGAGAGCAAGAGGTAGCTGTAAAGCAACAGCTATTCACGCAGCTACTGACCTGAGTGCTTCAAGTCCAGTGCAAAAACACATGGTCGTACTGGCAAACCTGGTGCGTTCCAGCCTGGGTTACCTCTTTGTTTTCACTGCTATTACTGCGTTTGTGGAGTCATGCTTGAGAACGCTTTATTTTGCTGGGAATGCAAATTTTTGTCTTTCCAGACACATGTAACAAACGGTGAATTTACTGCTTCTTTTGCATCTTCGTCTTTTTCTTCTTTTGCTTGGCTGCGCTATTTTGCTGGGGACCAGTGGAATAGGTTTCTTTGTGAGCTTGCGGTGGTGGTGGGGGTGGTGGTGGTGCCATTTGTGGACCACCTGCGGAGGCGCCACCACGACCCGGACATGGACAATAGGTAGCATCCTTACCAGGCGATCCACGAATACCAGGCTGAAATGAAACTAGCGTAAAAAAAAGCAAAAGAAAAAAAAAACGATAGAATCATTAGTGAGAACAGAACTACATAATTTTTATGTGTCCAGATTTTCTTCTTCCGCGCGTATCATGGATAAAATGAGGTATCTATCGCATAGTTTTAGTGGATATGGGATAATAGTGCTAATTGTGAGATTCAGTCGCAAGGATTCATTATAGGTTGTCTGGATTTTAGTACATCCTGGAGTTTGCGCCGGAATTTTTGAAGAAAAATATCGTCTGCGCTACAGTTACCAGATACAACAAAAGCACATCACTAAAAAACTGAGAATAAATTCCGCAAGAATATGTATTTGGTTTCCTTACCTTTCCTGGATTGCCATGCTTACCATCACGTCCATCAGTTCCAGGCCTCCCGTCTGGTCCAGGTTCACCCTCGGGCCCGGGTTCTCCGTCTTTAGCGTCATCACCTTTCGGACCCGTTGGTCCACGTTGTCCGGTTGGTCCTTTTTTGCCCATCGGCCCGGTACCTCGTTTTCCATCCTTCCCATCACGTCCGGGTTCACCTGGCGGCCCATCCGGACCAGTCGGTCCTTCATCGCCCATTGGTCCTGTAGGACCATGTGGACCGGGTCGTCCGACTTTTCCTGGTGGACCTGGTGGTCCTTTGGGACCAATTGGGCCTTCTGGACCATGTGGTCCGGGCGGTCCTGGTTTACCGGGTGGGCAGTCGATGCAGCCACCGGGAATTTGGAACGTTGCCATCAGAACGACCCCTGGTGCTCCGGGCTCACCATCTGGCCCAGGTTGACCATCAGGTCCTCTCTCACCCGGTTTGCCCCTCGGTCCTGGTGGTCCTTGCGGGCAGTTGTTTGCTGGCGGAGCACAGTCTGCAAACAGACTGTAATTAGTATGATTTAAACATTTCAAAAACGTGTGATTGTAACATGGTTTGCACGTTTTCCTTACTCTACAACAGTTTCGGTATTATCACTTCCTTATTTAGTTGGAGTCAGCAAGCTTAAAGCCCATCCTAGCTGTCCCGGATGTGCGAGTGCACCTCAGTAATATCAGATTTCCTCAACTGCCTGAACTTTTCATTCCTAAACTGTTGTCATGCTAGCATGTTCGATCACTGGGATCACTCACTGATACGCGCCATCCACTGAATGGCAAAACTAGCAACTTGTCTTGCCCAACGGTTTTTACTTTCTTGCATGATCTCAATAACATCTTGCATGTCGTGGATCTGGCCGTCCGGACATTCTTCGCTACACCGGTCGCTCCGTCACGGACATTATTCATTGTTCTGCTTTCGTCAGTGACCACATTTCGCATTCGTATACTTGAGCTAAATATGCATTTTCCCCGGAATTGCGGTCATGACGATTCAGCGCTTATAGCAATTAATTCATGTACTTAGACAAGGAAGTTCCATCAGTCCAAATATCTAAATGAATGTATTTTCCGAAAAACTGGCTTACTGCATTGGTTGTTCTCCCTTTTCGGACGAAACAGGGAATTGAACGAGAATGATATGGGCTCAGAATCGCCGTAAGGATTTGCATTCACATACATTATTTCCTGCCACGCATCTTCAGCTGTCATCTAGAAAAGCGCTAAATTATTTTATAAAAATTTAAAAATGACTTTTACAAAACTCACTGCTTTTCCACTAGTGATAGTTGTTTTCTGACTTTGAAGACAATTTTTCTCCGAGATTACGGATTCTAATTATTTTGACCGTTGCGGACTGCCAGGACCTCATTTGATTCGGATTTATTTTCCAGAACGTTTGTTTAGTATCTTCTAATTTCACAGCTTTAGTGTGCAGTATGCTTTCTTTTGGATTCTTAGCAAATGGTACCTTAGAAATGTGGAGGAGTCATTTTTAAGTATTTTAAAAAAGTGTCCACCAAAATTTCCAGGAAAATTGCTTATTTAAAATAAAAAAGTTTGTGGATTCTTCGTTTGGTATTTCATATTCTTGTCTAGGTAAATTTATAAAATTATTTAAAAGTCTCTAAAAAATTTCATTTTTAAAGAGCGAGAATTTAAGATACCGAGATTCTTAAAAGCAATAAAAACATGTATGAATTTTGTTAATGCACTCTGTCTTTATCATAAATTATTCTGAAAGACATATGTCTTTCCTGGCCGCTTATTCAGCTGAAGCACTGCAAAAGACAGAGGGAGTAAAAATCGTGGGGAAACAGTTCTTCATTTTTTTTCAGGAATTCCTTCCGGAGACAAAACCAAACGTTACAGTCGTTAGCGACTATCAGGCTGTGCGGCACTGGTCAAAACAGCTGGAATGATTATCAAACTGCACAGCTAGGAGAAAAATGAGACTACGAAAAACAGCTTTTCCAAGTTTTTCAATTTTATATTAACCTTGAATTCGTCCATTTCCACCATAACATCATCGTAAAGCGAGTTGATATCACGGAAAATAACAGCAACAGCGATCAGCGATAGTGCAATAACACACGCACTGCCCACCATGGCCGCGCCAAGTACTATTTTCATGGTCATTTTGATGGTGGGTTCTATTACTGCAATTAATTTTCCGATCTGTTACTAAATTGCATTTGTGCGTCAGATAAAGCTGCTATACTTTAATATTTTGCCCTGAGATGTACGTGTCACCCAGCCTGCATAATAATCTGTAGAATTCGTAGGACGGTAGAAGTTTAACAGCTCTTCTAGATATTTCAGATAATATGAAATTATAAGCTAGAAACTATCCTCCGTCCTCACATTTGTTTTAATTACATTGCAAATCACAGACTTAGATTGTTTTTTTATGTAGCTTTGTGAAACGGTATGGATGCAAGGAGCGTCCTCACATTTGTTTTAATTACATTACAAATCATAAACTTAGATGCATTTAATGTAGCTTTGTGAAACGATATGTACTCAAGAAGAGACCGTGTTATACAAGTAGAAAAACTGGAAAACGAAGAGTCAGGGGAAAAGTGGTGGTGGCCAAGAAAGAAGGACGAGTACGAAATATAATATGGTGTGTAAGCACTCCTGATCCCGGAATCCATTTAAAAAGTCTTGAAAAGTCCAGAGAAGTGGGTAAAATTTAATAACTGATAGTTGTTCAAGGCTTATTTTATATCGCTCCTCTTATTAATGAAAAGTTACCGCCTCTTGCCGTGGGTATCATCAACAAGTTTGTAAAATTTTGAAATGTACACCTTTAACTGTCTTTCAACTTCCTCCCGCTCTTTTCGCCTTCTTCCTATCCCTCGCCTTGCGTATACCTCCTTCACGTCAACCGTTTCATTAATAGTTTGAAATATTATCGGTTTCACAAATCAAGGTTTGCCAATGAGTGTTGGAACTGGAGAGAATCAGGTTGTTGTTGTTAAATGAAGTATCCAGAAACAAGTTTTCCATCTAATGTTGGTGGTTAGTAAATTCATAAGCGATGGAAAGTGAAAGTGTTTATGGAAATACTTTGTGTATCACTGCAACAAAAATAATGAAAATCAGAAATTTTGAATAATTTTGCAAAAAAAGTGAAATTTTTCGTTAAAAATTTTCGAAATTCTCATAAAACAAAATTTGCTTCATGATCTGACTCAAAGAATGAAATATAGAAAGGAACTGAGTTCAGTATTTGATTAAAAATCTTTTTTATTTTCCAAAATTTTTCGGCTCCGAGTTGGGCGGTTAAAAATTTTTCATTTTTTGAGTCTCCCGTACCATCTTCAACACTTCATTACATGTTTTTTTCATTGTTCGGAATGTGTTACTGGATAGAGTAATTAATTAACATTTTTTTACCTTTTTGAAATTTATGGCTGTTAGTCCAGTAGTTATCTACATATCTTTTTCATCTTTCGGAATTTTTCGGTACTCAGTTCAATAGCTAACTCTTTTCTTCTATTTTTCCGGAATTTTTGGCGCTGAATTTATCAATTAACTGTGTATCTTTTTTTGTTTGCTAGATCCTGTTTCTTTTGCTTTCGATTTTTGAATTCTTGATGGGAAATACCGCAAAACTTTTTTTTTTTGGAAAATTACGTATTAATTTATTTTCGCAAACCAAAATTTTGGTCTTTTAGTGTAAATTTTTTACTCTGTTAATCTTGTTCAGACTCGTCACTACGTGTCAATAATTGTTTGAGAAAGGGGTACTTTGCAAAATTTTTAATGCGTTTTGCATAAGTGTTTCTTGCAAATAAGAACTCATTTTCGCCAATACATTTGGCTGGTAAAAAAGGCCTTTTTTACTGCATCTTTTATCTTTAAGACTTTTTATGGATGTAATTTTATTTTCTTCCCTAACATGCATGTGTATTTTTCTTATTGCAAATTTTTTACCTTTCCTGTAAATTTTATTAGGAAACTATTAAAGTAGCACAAGTAAATGCAGAAATCAAGTTCGTTTTGCTTAAACCAAATTAACAAAGTATGATATTACTCATTTCAGACTATATTTTGTTGGAAAAATGCTTTTTTGTCCCGTCCATCTCGACAATTTGTGGTGATGAAAGGGCATTTGGAGTATCTGCACTGGTCCAACAGAAACTGAATTAGTTACGACTTAATGTTTTCTCTCCTTTAATCGTCGCCTATGCGAATACGGCTGATAATTCGCTGCTGCTTCGGAAGGAGGTGCTGGTGGTGAGCGTTGCGAATCCGGGGTATATCGAGGAGGCGGATAGTTTGGTTGTTGTTGATACTGCGGTTGTTGTTGTTTTGGTGGTGCTGGCGGTGCCAACTGAGGCTTGTATGTTGGCTGCTGCTGATATTGCGGTTGAGATACAGCGGAGTCACGATTCGGACATGGACAATAGGTTGCATCCTTACCGGGATGACCACGGACACCAGGCTAAAGCTTCGTTTTTAGTCATTTTTAATTGTGCGAAATGAACATTGATAATAGCTGCACATAAAAACAAGACAAATGTCAAAATTCTAGCCGAATGTCGGCCAGGAGATGCCGTGTACTGATCAAAGCAACTGGAAAAGTGGTCAGCTGCAAATAGCTGAGAGCCACGCTTTGAACTGCAGCTCAGAGCGTGAAAATATTTCAAAGCCTTCTCTATTAAGGCTCAAAATTTGAAAGGCCCTGCTGCCTTTTTTCTGGCATAATCTCCTCGCCTCCACATTTCTTTTCATGTTTTTAATGTAATTTCACACTGTAGTAAACTTTCGCAAAACAATTTTCGTAAAAACGATTTCGGGAACCAGGCAAGCTAGAAAGTTGGAATTTAATGAGGGTGTTCCCTTGTCCAGCGACAATCCAGTGAGTTGAATTTAAATTCGCCCATTTCTACTTGTCAGAATCGACGCAACCACCAGTGTAAGATACCAGTGTTGCTGAAATGCAACTGAATCCTGACTGCGGATATGTCAGGCCATCCGGTCCTGAGTTACTCAATAGTCCCAAATACACACGCATGCAGTTTCTTCGGATTTCGCCTAAAGCAGCTTTTTTGATAAAGCAATCCTTTTTTTTTTCTTAACTGGGAATGGTATTGATTCATGTGAAAAATTCTTTTACTTGTGCGGATACGAAAACTCAAAATAATATTAAACGAATTTCTAACATACCGTTCCAGTGGCGCCATGCTTTCCGTCACGTCCATCCATACCCGGTCGACCATCCGCACCAGCATCTCCGGGCAGTCCTTGCTGTCCATCCTGTCCATCATCACCTTTTGGACCCGGTGGTCCACGTTGTCCAATCGGTCCTTTTCGACCACGCGGTCCTGTTCCACGCTGTCCGTGTTGGCCGTCTCGACCTAACTCGCCTGGTATTCCATCTGGACCGACTGGACCTTCGTCTCCTTCAGGTCCTGGTGGCCCGCGCGGGCCGCAGCGTCCCTCTTTCCCAGGCTGACCTGTTGGGCCAGGTGGGCCTGGTGGACCCGGTGGACCGTTTGGACCAGGTGGCCCTTGACGTCCAGGTGGGCAGTCGATACAACCGCCAGGAATATTGAAAGTGGCAAGCAGTGTTACACCTGGTGCCCCAGGCTCACCATCCGGACCTGGTGACCCACTTGGTCCTCTTTCACCGGGGGGACCACGTGGTCCTGGTGGTCCTTTTGGGCAATTGCTCGCTGTTGATCCACAATCTAGAACAACAAAATTCCCATAAATTTGTAAAAGTTTGCCAAATTTATAGTTTTGCCATTTATTAACCGTGCTTATTACAGTATGAGACAATAAAGTAAAGAAGCTAGTGATATTATTACCAAGAATGCCAAGATCCCTGGGCAGTCGGTGTGGGAACCCCATGTTGTTCATGATGTCGGGATACTTCGGTGGAATTACGCTACGAATTAAACGTCTAACAATGAAATAAATACTCACTGCACTCGGTGTTATGCCTCTTGGGACGAAACAACGATTGGAATATTAGAGATCCGCTTTCACTGGCACCGTATGGATTTGAATTGACAAACATTATTTCGCTCCAAGCATCGTCGGCAATCATCTGCAAACTTTTATAACTGAAATCTTGAAGGTTGATGGAGAGATAAAGAAGTTTAATTCTTAAGATACTCTAACAAGGAACCGGAAAAATTTATGCTCAGTATAACATCAATTGTTTAGCTAAAAAGAATAGATCAGAGCCATTTTTAAAAATCTTTGGGAAGTTGCTGTTGATCAAATAAAAAATACTTAGAATATTTTGGTCAGCTCTATCAATAGTCTAATTCACCATCTATGCAGCTGGCAGCTTTTCCAGTTAGTTTAACCAGTGCTGCGTCTGTTGATGGACAGCTTTTTGGCGATCCTGATGTTCGTTTTCTCTTTTTTTTTTTCAATTTCCTATCAAACAGAAATAATAAACTTTCGTAAGATAAAATTCCACTTTCTGGTCAAATACTTACACTCAATAAATTTGTCTCGAAAGGTAGTAACTCCAAAAATTTCTGTTATACCTCCAATTTAAATTATGAAAAGTCATGCATTTCTACCAACTTATTGGTGAAATCAATTTGAAAAGTTGGAATTTACCCTGAACTCGTCCATTTCAATCAGAATTTCATCATACAATGAGTTGATGTCGCGAAAAACCATGGTGGCAGCTATTAATGACATTACTATAATAAAAGCACTTCCGGCGATCGCCACGCCAAGTAGGAATTTCATGCCCATTTTCGGTGTTAATTACTGAAAGCAGAATTATCTAGAATTTCATTATTGTTCAATTACACATACTCTGAGTCGATGTAAATTTAAGCCTTGCCAAACATGCTTGTTTTTTTTAGCTTTTTTGTTTGTTGAGGGCATCTGACCAGGATTACAAATACCATTCAAGTACACAACATAGTTGTAGCATTTTCGTGATGTTGCTGTTCCTAAAAGACGGGTTCTTCAATCTTGGGCTGCAATCCTTCAGTCAGTACCTTCCGCTTATACAGTTCCGAAGAGGAAAACCTCATCAGAAAGTCTTCGAAGGCCAAACTATTTGTTGTTTCTTCTCAGTTTCTGTGCGTCTCATGATTATGCTGTTTTTGCCGACGCAGCTTACGGCAGCATTCAGTGACGATCGAGTACCACCACGAGCAACTCAATAATTTCATAGGTGACACGAACCGTTCTGGGCAAAATTTAGCATTTGTCCACAGAAACAAACATTGGCATCAAATTTAAAAGAAAAAGCATATTTACATCAATTCTTCAGAAATCGTTTCAGTGGTTGCTTACTTTTTTCATGATTTTCCCACGGAAGAGCAATTTCTACTGGTTGTCAGTAAAAAAAAAAACAACCGAAATAATCACCCAGTTGCGGATTGACCTATTTTCTAAAAATTATCCAGAGTTTCTCACGATAGCTAAATGTGCTACAGCAGATTTTGCGTGAAAATCGATCATATCAACTCCTAACTGGAAATGATGATAATTCCAGATCTAATTATGTGGCTGTTTTAAGTACTAATTTTTGAAACAATGTTGTTTGTTCAAGCGACAGTGTGAGCCACGCTACTTTAATTTAGCGGTAATTATATTAACTTAGCGATAATTTAACGATACTTTGGTACTTCGTTGCTTTCCTAGATCAACCTGTACGCTACAATCGGCTTAAAGATCCTAATGATTCTGACGTACGCTTGCAGCGTTCGTCAACTTGATACAAGCCACAGGTACATACTTCAGAGCATGTCAAATAACATAAGTTTACCATCTTACAATCTCTAGATTTTACAAAACGCTTCTAAAATGGCTTTGTCTCTTTTAGAAAACTAACACTTTGGCAGTTTCGCAACCTCAGCCTTATTTACTTTCATAATTTGATCAGCTGTTGCTCATAGCTAATTCTCCAGCAGTACCCTCAGTTGCTGTAATCAGTGCTGCACTGCTTGGTGGTCAGATAAAAATCCGATAAAAATGCTCAGAAGTTTTGAAAACTGTTTCGACTTTAACAGTTTTTAAAACTACTGAGCATTTTTATCCTTTTTGCGACAAGGTCGCAAAATTTGTCAAAGTGATTTAAATAAGCGCGCAGGCAAATGCAGAAGGAATTGCTAATGGTAAAAGTGACATACTCGCCTTGATTATATAAACCCATTTTTTCTGTCAAACCGTTAGCTCATCGAGGCATTAAATTTTGTGTTAAATGCGCTTTGCTTTTTAGTATCATCAGCTGAAGCACACTTTCACTAAACTTGGAAACAATAATTGGTTCCAGCATCGGAAATTAGTACTGAAAAAATAGAGGATTAGAGAAATACACCAGTTAGTTGCTCGCATGTAGTGCTAATCCGTGGTGCTTCCGGAACAGGTTTTCGGCAGGTCTAAACTAAAAACGCATTAAAATTGCTCTTACCCGTTATTGCAGAAGAAATGCGTTTTAAAATGTTGCAAAGTCGTGCAAATTAAATTTTCGAGCAGTTTAGGAATGCTATGTTGAAATTGATATAAAATGTTTTATGATATTAACCAAAGTGCAAACACACAGCAAAGTGTGCTAATCACCTTAGGCTGACCCGCAGGTTAGCGAAACAAAAAAAAGTAAAGGAATTTTTAAAAAACAAAATTAAATGAAGAGATTTAATAAAATAAAAAAAGAGTATTGGGGTGAGTGCCATCGATCGACTTATTCGAAAGCGTACCGGCTGCCGGTACGAGGACGCTTTTTTTGCACAGTTCCCTTGCAGGTTTTTTCGCTAGTGGCACGTTCTTCCCGGCAGATGCTTCTAGCTAAAAGAACTGTGACTGGTCACCACGACCGTTAGAAATTATTACAATGACTCCCAATCCATGCCCAAAAAATTCAGCACTCTGGATGCTCCGGTTGGGGCTTGCGCCAAATTTCACGTCTTTTTGCATGAGTGGCAACATGAGTATTTTCTTCGCGCGCGGCTGTTCAAACGCGATTCTGGATAACGCTCAGAAAGTTTCAGCACTCCAGCTGCTCTGGTTGCAAAGTTACGTCAAAATTAGCGTGTTCGTATGCGAGTGGTAACGTGAATGCATTCTTCGGTTGCGGTTACTCAAACACGGCCCTGAGTATTGCTGAGAAAGTTTCAGTACTCAAGCTGCTCTGGTTGCGGGGCTACGTCAAATTTCACGTGTGTACAAGTGAAACGTGCGAGAGACGTGAAAGTGATGTGTAATTCGTTTTTGTGTGCATTTGGTCAAAGGCCACCGTCGGTCATGCTAAGAAAGTTCAGGTCCTCTGACTGGTTCAACTCTGAAGTTACAAAAGCGCATGCGTGAAATTTTCGCGTGATCGTACGTGAGATGCAGAAGAGCTGACAAGTAATTCACTTTCACGACACAACAGTGGGTGGCAAGTAATGCTGCAAAGTTGGAACTCCCTGCAGCTTATTGGACAGCTTAAATCTGAAGTTGGCATGATGCCAGTTTAAACTTTGACGCGTGCGTACGAGAGACCTGGAGGTGCGTGAAAGCTGAGTTTGAAATCTTTGGATTAGACGTGGCCAAGGAACAAATTTGTGAAGTTCCAGCCTCCTAGCATGGGCCTTTCCCGAAAACGCTTTCCCACCAAAAAAACTTTCGCGTGCCTCTACGTGGGAAACCCGTTGACCTGAGCATCCGTTTTGAGGATATGAGCCTGCACGTATGTGTAGATTAAGTCACCAAATTTTCAGCCCTGCAGCTTTTGTGGATCTCGAGATGAAAACTCGTTACAGACGCACACACAGGCACACATACACACA